TTTAAAAGGTGAAAAGGTAGCAGTGCAGTGGCATTTCCTCTTCTCCCAGGCTCTGAGAAGGCAGTGCCTGCTGACCTGCCCTAGAGAGAAATCAGGGAAGTGCAGTCTGGGAAGAAGGTGAACTGGGAGTTCAGTGTCCATCTGGCGCCGCTGTCCCCAGGTGCACTGTCTCCGGCGAGTGACTCTTTGAGAGCCACTGCTCTTTCTGTTCTCCCTCTCATGGCCTGTGCTCTCTGCATGGCTGGCTGTGGCTATGGCTGGCTTCTCATGGAGCAGCTTTTCAGTAGCTATGCATTTGGGGCTCACCTGAGAGGGAGGAAGAAGAGGGTAGGATCTGGGCCAACAGGTGGTCCCAGATACTTCCTTACACTAGATCTTTTCAGCCGGACTTTCTGTGCCCCAAAGCCCATAGTGCTTCCTGTGTCCCTAGTGAAGGAGGAATGGGACTTGGAAGAAAGGAAAGAAGGGTAGAAGAACAAAGACAGAAAGAATAGATAAAGGAAGGCCAGACACAATCAAAATGGATTTTTGAAAACGTTAAATGAAAGGAATCAAGCACAAAATGTCCCGGAGCAGCAACTCTACAGAGACAGAGGACTTCCTTTGAATCAGAGGCTTCAGGAATGAGTTGGAATTGGGGGGTGACAACAAAAGGAAACAGGGCTCTCTTAGGGGAGGGGATAGAAGTGCTCCCAAACTAACTGTGTGAACCGGTGTGTGCACTTTAAAGGGTGAATTGATAGTATCTCAAACAACTGGGAGAAAATGGGGAAGGGAGAAGATGAAATGTAGATGGGAAGAGGAAGAGAAGGATGACAAAGGAAAGAAGTACATTTGCATCTCTGGCATATGCCATGGATGGTAAGGGCCTGTGCTTCTAGTCTCAAGGGCAGTCAGAGTTGTCACCTCAGACCGTCTGTCAAGCCCCACCAACCCGTAAGTGGAGGAGCCATGACTCACACTGGGTCTATCTAACCTCCAGGCAGCCATCATCAGGGCATCAGGACAGAGATGGAGACCTGTCCTATACAAGGTGGCCATCAGGACCCCCGAGTCAGGGGGAGGGAGGGCAGCCACTGTCCTGTAGGGAGGGAGCTGTTAAATGCCGAAACCAATGTACCAAAAAAAATCCAGGCTGTGTCAGAGGGTCAGATGATGGAAATAAACACATTTGGGCTCCTGAACCAGCCAACGAGTTTGGGCCTATGAAGAAAACTTTCCTTCTTAGCAAAACAACTCCTCCGGGGAAGTATGCCTATTGGACACGAAGCTCTGGCATGTCCATGATACTGAAGCCTCATCTCCAGAGAATAAACTTGAAACAGTAAGCAAAGCACCCTCCCCCACATTCCCACAACCCCTCCCACATTCCCTTCCCCCTTTTCCACATCCCCTGTTCTTCCCCCACTCCGCCCATTCTTCGCCCTCCACCCCCAGCATAGATAGCAAGGTCATGCTGTGGTGAAGAGTCGATGGGTGGCTGTCCTGCCTAGAGACACTTTTTATGCTACTGTCATGCACCTTCACTCTTCCAGGCCCATCCGTGATAGCTCATGGGGGTGGGCAGGTCCAGGGAGACTTCCACCCAGGCCCTGGGTGCTGCTGGGAGATCTGTCCCTGACACCAAGGCTCGAAGGAGGGCCACTGTGACTCAATGTATAGGAAAAGGGAAGAAGCTCTCTCTGAGCTTTTTTAGGCTCCCAAACTTCCCTCTTGGAGGCTTGGTGTCCTGATGTTTACAGTGGGGTGATGTTAATCGCTCCTCAGAGTTCTCAGAGACCCAGGGCAAGAAATTCATTTGGACATTCACCAGCATGGCAGGCACAGCGCTCCCTGTCAGGGACCCAGCAGTGACAGGGGCAGGGCCTGACCCCTGGTATGGGGGAACAAACATAACACAAGTTGGAGGTGCCAACTGTGTGCATGAGAGATTAGTGTGGTTGTAGGCTCCAGGCATTCAGAGCCTTGGTGGCTGGGGAGACTTTTCATTCCAAAAGCAACAGAAGGGTTGGACCACAATCAAGTCACTTCTAGAAAAGGCCTGTGTGGCTTTAGAGGGAGGAAGGCAGATGCAGGGGCTAGAGGCCACTCTGGCTCCTTGGCAAGAGGAGGGTTGGAAGGTGAAGGAGGAGTTACCCAGCTAAGGCTCCAGCCCTCCAGGCACCTAGCCTTTGCCAAGCCAGGGACAGAAACAAAGGGTCTCCACAGGAATGAGGAAGCGCACACCTGGGAGCGCTGATAGGCTAGGTGCCTGGGAATCTTTTCTCCAGAGATTACGGGAGCAAATGAGTGCAGGAACGAGGCCCAATGGTCCAGCCTTCCTGCCTGCTCTGCAGTATAGATGGGTCACAGCCCTCTGACGCCTTGGCTTCCTCTTTTGGTATCTACAGGACTGAGTCTGAGGTGTCTGTCAAAGGCAGAGCCAAGTTCATTTGTTGGTGGAAGAGGCCAGGCTTGGAGGACAGACAGGCATGGATTGGAGCCTTAGTTCTACCACCTCTGAAATGGTGGCGGCCAAATGCCAGCCAGTTTGTCTCTGGGCAGCTGCTGGTTGATGGTCATGCTGCTCTTTGAGACAGGGCCCGTGCTCTGCTCACAGCTATGTGCTGAGGGCACAGGCATCTAACAAGGTTTTGGTAGAAAGCTCACTTCTAGTGATGGACTTGGGAAGGGACAGGTGAGGTGCCTCCCACAATGGGGCTGAAGAGGGGCAGACAGAGCCTCAAGCTAGAAAGGCAGGGCTTGGCTTGGCTAATTTCTCCCCTGAGGTGTCCACCTTATCTGACTGTGCCCTGCCCCTCTGCACCCAGGAGAGTCTGGGTCAGCCACCTTCAGGATTCTTGGTGGCGTTAAAAGCTTTGGGTGAGTTCTGTTCTTGCCCTCAGAGAAGGGAAGCTGGGAGCTGTCCTTACTGAGGGAGGCACAGGCCACACTGTCCAGGAAGATCAGGGAGAAAACCAGTTACTGGCTGCTCTCAGCCTTCTGCAATTCTGAAGGAGTGTGTGGGTTCCCCGGACCCTCCCTTCTTGGCCAAGCACGTCTGCCCACTGTTCCCAGGAGCTGAAGACGGACCATAGTTGCACACTCTAGGATCGGAGCCTTGGCTCTATGCTGTAGCTGCTACGAGAAAGCTGGGCAGGCAGCACGTCTCAGCTGGCACCCAGGGTGACTCTGAGAACCAGAAGATGTGCACATTCAGACCCTGCCAGGTGCCTGGGACCCAGAGAACACTCAGAAATGAAGCTTCTAGGAACCTCCTACCTTGTGTTACTTGGGGAAAACCTTCCTGGACTCTTTTGAGCCTTGGTTGTAGCATCCATGTCAGGTGGCTCACAACTGTCTATAACTCTAGTTCCAGGGGATCTGATGCCTTCTCTTAGCCTCTGTGGTTGGCAAATGAAGGGGTCCAGCCTAACCTAGCCATTTCTGCCAAGTGTGCAGTGAGTGACTGTTTCTTAAGGACTAGGGTTAACAGGCTGCTAAGGAGCTCACAGGGAAGATCTATACCAAGAAATATACTCCCTAACCAAACAGCGCCCGTTCTTTCCTATGCCTTTATTTTTTTCTCCATAATGAATCAATCAGCTTTGTGGCTGCCTGAGTAAAAGAGATGGGATGATGCGATCGAGGAGAACATTTAATCCACCAGGCTGGGACAAGGCAGTCTCCAGGCTGGCTGGGAGGATGGGCTTGGGAGAAGGTCCAGAGGCTGGAACAACAGGGGTGATGCTGTGGCCAGAGTTGAGAGACAGTAAAGTTCTTTCCGGAGGGAGAGGGGAGAGGGGAAAGTGTGACATCTGAGGGAGGACTCTACACACCTGGAAGGGAGTGGCACCCGTGAGGACAGAAGGGGTGAAGCCCAGGAATCTAATGACTCATTCTGCCCTCACAGCTGCCCTCCAGAACTCAGAATGAGCAAATGATTGAATGAGTCCACTCCACTGACCAGCATTATGGGGCGAGGGTTGGAGGCCTAAGGCATGGTCCGTGGGAAGAGAAAGAAAAGCCACATTAATAGAGCAGCTCCCTTGTTCGGTGCTTTCCAATCCCCTGTTCATGCTTAAGCAGGAGAAGGCTCTGCACACAGCAAGCGTCCCCAGTGCCTCGCAGCCCGGACAGGACCATGGGTCCCTCAACACCCTGCAGTGGCTTTCCCCCAGGGAGTTTATTGAAATCCCATTTTGATTCTGTTTCTCTTCCTAGCTTGAGCACCTCTCGGAGTAAAACCTTGCTGTTGCTGTCTTTGCTGCTGTCACTGTCATGTGACCTGCCTCCCCAACGACTGCACTTTGCCTACCCAGTGTCCGGCAGGCTTTGTTGTTGTTGTTTCGTTTTTTAGATAGCCCCATAATGCTGGTTTTTCTCTCTTCTCCACCTATGGATCAGTGCAGTTCCCTTCTTAACCTTACAGGCCTACATCAAAGGGGACCTCACAGCCTTCTGTCCATGACTCAGATCTGCTAACCACAGCCTCCTTTCCAAAGCCCAGGTATATGACGGCCACTCCCCTAAGTCCCCGTGTCTGTCTTTCCCCAAGATCTACACAGAAGATCCACACTTTTGGTTCTGCTGAGGCCCCACCTTCTCACTGCTGCCATTTTTATTTCTTACTAACTTGAGCACTCTTCAAGGAAGAAGCAATTTGCACATGGCTTCTGAGTGCTCCTGTGAGGGGTATAACTGACCACCCACAACTCCTAGGTGGCAGAGTTGGAGTCTTATACTTAGGCCACCTGAGCAGAAGGGCAATTTAGTTAAAAAGAAGGACCTCTGAGCTTGGGAATAAGCAGCATTTGTCCAGGTCCCAGCTCAGTGGACTTTGATAAGATCTCAGTTACTTTTAATGTGGCCTTTAAAAAATGAAGGTAAACGTTCTACCTACGAGAGCCACTGGGAGGACGAGGGGTGATTTCTATAAGATGCTCACAGGCTGGTCTCGGCACCATGCCCATGGAGGGAGGGATGTTTCCCCGCACCCCAGCCTCCCCCCCCACAGTTACCTGTGTGGGATTCCCTGGATGTGTGTGATTTCTGTCCGGCCCCACACCTGGAGCTTCAGCGGCTTCTCCTCCTGCCATCTGCCATCTCGACTTTGGCTCCTGGACAGCAGGGAGTTGTTCAACCTCAGGGAAGTTTTGTGGGCTTCGCGGCTGGCAAGCTTGCAGTGGAAGAGCTGCTGGTATGCCGTGCGGAAGTCTCTGTTGAGAGCAGCGTACAGGATGGGGTTCAGGGCAGAATTAGCATAGCCCAGCCACAGAACAATGCCTTCAACCACCTCATTGATGGCATCATCCCCTCTCAGCCCACGGTAGACGAATGTGGTGAAGTAGGGGAACCAGCAGGTGATGAAGGCTCCCATGACCGCAGCTAGTGTCACGGTGGCTTTGTGTTCTCGGATGGTGGCCGCCTTCCAGGAGCTGGTGAGATTGATCCTTTTGGCCTGCTCCCTGGCGATCTTAAAGATTCTGTAGTAGGTGACACACATGACAAGAAGAGGCAGGTAGAAGGTGACCAGCCCATCCACCAGCCCGTACACCGCGTTGACCTGCACTTTGCACTTGAAGGTGTCATTGCCCCCTTGGGTCCCGTTTCTGCTGTTCCACCCCAGGTGAATAGACAGGAAAGATAGGGTGATGGAAATGACCCAAATGAAGACCAAAGAAACGGCAACACGTACTGGGGTGACTAGCACAGGGTACCGCAGTGGGTCTGTGACAGCACAGTAGCGGTCCAAGCTGATCATGAAGAGGTTGAGGATGGAGGCCGTGCAGAGCATCACATCCAGGCTGGTGTAGATGTTGCAGAAGACCTGGCCGAAGCTCCAGTTGAAAGACAGCTGGTAAATGGCAGAGAAGGGCAGCACCAGGAGGCCAAGGAGCAGGTCAGTGGCTGCCAAGGACACAATGAAGCAATTGGTCAGGCTGCGGAGCCGCCGATTCAAGCTGACAGCCAGGCAGACAACCACGTTGCCAGCAACGGTGACGAGGATGAGGGTGGTGAGGACCACACTGATGGCGACTTTCAATACAACAGAGTCAAAGCAACAGGAATGAATCGTGCCGTTGGGCTCCATTCTGGGGCCCTGCAACTTCTGCACTCACCCCTTGGCCTTGAACACTTCCCTTCTAGCTCCAATCACCAGGCTTCAGTCTTCCAACCACCCAAAGGAAAGCTGGGAGGGGTCTAGTGACTGGCCCAAAGCTGGTATAGGAATGGATCAAGCTGTTCCTTGTGAAGTACAGGACATGAGTAAGAATGAAGACAGGGCCTTAAAAGCTCACACTCCAGTCCTCAGCTGGTCTTCCAAGCCGGACTCCTTCCAAGTCTGTAGTATGTATCTACCTTCTAGGTTCCTCATGGAGATCGAGGCACTGGTGGATGTGTTTTGAGATGTCTTTAGTTTTGTATGCAAGAGATCATACATATAGGCTGTTATGTCCTTCTCCATGGCTGGTGTCTGCTCCCATTGATGGCTTAAGGTTGAGGACTATTGGCTACCCTCTCTGGGGTGGCAGGAGCTGAAAATGCAAAGATTGAGTGTTTAGAACTTCAGCATTAGACCAACAGCATGGCTTGTTCCAAGGCAAGTCTTTCTAGACCCCCATCATCTGTTGAGAAACCAGGAGGCATGGGGACTCTTCTAAGGACCCTTCTTTAGAAAAGACCAAGATGGTGAAGGAACATGGTAGGATCTCGAAGGGTACCAGGGCATAGGGCTATCTTATGAGGAAAAGAGTAAATGGAAGGGTGGGGTTAGGACAAGACTGTGTTCACTTGCTGCCTTCTGGTGCCTGACCCCTCTGGTAGGCATTTGCCATCTGTTGATTAATGATACATTTAATGAGCAGATGAAGAAAAGCAGTAAATTTACTCTAAGTGTGGGGGTCACTGTAAACTGGGGGGCTGCCAACTATTTTAGAGAAAGAACCAGGCAGCCTGTATTTTTTTCTTGAACCCTGCAGGGTAAGGTGTCTGCTGAACCAACGACTCTGCCACTATAGCATAAAAGCAGCCACATAGGACCATGTGAAAAAGAATGCATGGACTATGCTACAAAACCGTCTTGACTCCCCTCAGGCCCCAGGGATTTCAAAGCATTCTCACCCCCATGAAAGCAGGCTAGACTTAGCTTGCCTTTTGTCACCTGCTGTCTCTGTGATGTCAGCTTTATCCTTGTTCGGTGTTCAGCAGCCACGTCTAAGTCTTATTGGTTTGTATTTAGCAGTGTACACATTTCCACTTCCAAGTCAGCTGGTACATAGCTCACTCAGTTCTCATGGCTGTGTAACAGCCCATGATGTGGCTGGAAGTGCTTTCTCTCCCACTCTCTCACCTTCTCAGGCATTTCAGTGACTTTTTTCCCCCTCCAATTTCCCCTCTTCATTTTCATTCTTCGCTCCCTCTTCACCTTCCTTCTTCTCTCCCTTCTTCCATCCTTCCCTTCTTTCCTCCTCCTTTTCCTCCTGCAAATACCACTCGATCAATAGTTGTACACACAATACCTGGACCAGATCACCTCCACAAATCCCTTCTGGTGGTGACAGCCTAACGTTTCCAGGTGACAAGAAATGAGGTCAGTCCTTATTTCATGGCTAGCCCCCTTTCCACAGCCTCTTCTGATTTTTCTGAGAGCAGCTAGCAGGCTCTCCGGAGAACTGAAACTGTGCAAATCTAAATGACAGCAGAACCCTCTCAGAAGCAAGCGACTCACCAAGGGACATCGATTCTGCCTCTCTTGTGCTCTTTCCTGGAGCTGCTCTGCAATCTGAATACAGATGCCTCTCTGATCATAATGGCTGGGCTGGAGCTGGGGCCAGGCTTCCTGGGCACCCTCTGCTGTCCCAGCTGCCTCAGCCTCTTATCCCTGTGAGCCGAGCCTTTGGGTATCATGTCTGAAGGAGCTTTTCATTACATGAAAAGCCCAAACAACGCGGGTCTTACCACCACACTTAATTAACTTTGGAGGGGCAGCAATAAGGGTAGACTTTTAAAACAGCTCCCTACTTCTGATAATAATTGTCTCTGCATTTTCCTGACAGCTGGCCTCAGGCATTTTGGCATTGGGCTGGTATTCATGCTAATGTTTGGAAGAGTCTTCAAATCTGAGTGAAATAGCTTTCAATATAACTAGGAATCTCCCTCACTCCTGTCTTCTCCAGCAGTCATTTCTCTGAGTGCGCTGAGGATGCTGAGGACCTCTGGGTGCCAGGGATGCAAGGCTGCCCACTAAGATTCCTTCCTTGTGAGTCTTCCTGGGACCCACTTCATTACCTTTCCATTTAGCACGAGGCTTCCCAGAGTTTTCTGCGAGCATTCTGAAGGCAGGTGAATGTGTGCTAATTCCATCCCACCTCATGCCTATGAGTAGAATGATCACCCTAAAGGACCATATCATCTACTTGTGGGCCAGCTTCCAGTGGCTCCTTTCGCCTGGAAGAACCCTCACGTCATCACAGTGGCTAATGCAAAGGACACTTGTTGGTGTTCTTTGTGGAATGTATACAATGTTCTTGTGGAATATATACAATTTACCCTTGTTCACTCAAATGCTGATTTCTCTACCTCACTATCTAATTTCAATCTGGATATTGCATTGTGATGCTTATTCTAGGCATTACCTGTCTCAAGTTTGTGTAAACATGCCACCATTTGTTCTCTATGTTGTCAATTAAACATCCAGCAAGTTCTGAGCAATGGAGAGAATAGGGTGGGACACCCTGGTCTGGAGGGGAGGAGAAGGAAGCAAGTGGGAGGAGTTGAAGAGGAGAGATTGGCAGGAGGGGACTTGGAACTACCAGGAGAGATGAACCGGACCTAAGATATGACTAAAAGCAAGTATGATGTGGAAAATCTGAACGGGAGGAAACTATGTGGGTTTGAAGGTTTAGGATGGAGTAATTATTGCCCAGCATTGTGCTCTAGGTTAATTAAGCAAATCCTAGTCTCTGTGTGGTGATTTGGGTATACAGCTGGTTTAGGAATAACCACTGTTTAACTAAAAGATAAATCTATGATAAATATTAATAATCAACAGCAGACACTCTCTTAAACTTTTAACCTGCCAAGGTGCTTATCTGCTCACTGCAGTAAGCCCATACCCCAGCTGCATCCAGGCAGCGTCAACTATCTGAGCTGCCACATAGCCTAGCTCCCACACCCAGGAGGTGATATTTGATTTGAGGGGTGGCTTCCACAGATCCCCTGTCCCTCTGGGTGTATATAGGCAGGACACATCTGTAGACACACACACTCTATAATCTCCTTTTCTTAATTTCTTTTGAAATTTCCAATTCCTATTGACTGTCTCTTTCTATCACTTAAGATTAAACCAAATTCTTTTACTTGTTCCCCAGCCTGAGGCAATGTGACCACAGCGGCATAAACAATGATATTTGTGTTGGCAGGCTTGTGAGTGGCAAGAACACGGAGACAACATGAGCTTCTGCCATGAAGAGGGTGATAGATCAGTAAATCATAGCAACTCTGCACCCTGTAACAGGCCTGGCCTGTGTGAAATCATAGGACCCTAAGAATAGCCCTAGGAACAAGAAAAACTGTCCAAGTGATGTTACTCCTCTAATAACTAGCAGCCCCTAAATTCAAACTCACTGCTACAGTTTGAAAAAGGGGCTACCAAAGGCCTGTATGTCAAACGTTTGGCCTCCAGCTTGTAGCATTACTAGAGGTGGTGGAAATTCTAGAAGGTAGGTCAGGTCATTTTAGAAATTTTAGAGAGGAAGTCAGGTCATTAGGATAAGCCTAATGAAGGCTTGCAGAAGGTTCAGAGGCCTCTTTCCCTTCATGTCTCTCCCTTTGCTTCCTGGCTGCCATGAAGTGAACTGGCCTCTCTGTCACCCACTCCCTGCCATGATGTACTCTGCTGCCACAAGCCCAAAGCCAAGGGGCCAAGAGACCGCAGACTGAACTTCTGGAGCTACAAGCCCAAACAAACTTTATTTTCTTGTCTTCCATAGGTATTTTGTCACAGTGCGAAAAGCTGACTACTATACAAAGTTACAGTTCCTTTGGCTTGCTCTTAATGCCCATTCCTTGATTAGACTTCAACTGGTCTAGTCAATTGGATCTCAGAATTCATCCATCTGTCATCCACCCGAGAGGGTGTGTCATCCATCCACCCTCTCATCCATCCATCCATCCACCCACCCACCCATCCACCCACCCATCCATCCACCCATCCATCCATCCATCCACCCACCCACCCATCCATCCATCCATCCACCCATCCATCCATCCATCCATCCATCCACCCACCCATACACCCACTCACCTACACCCTCTCCATCCACTCATCCACTCACCCACCCATCCACACTTCTATCATACATCCATCGATTCATTCATTTATATATCCATCCACCCACACATCCATCCACCTACCCATTCATCCACCGATCCATCCACCCACTCATGTATCCATTCACCTACCCATCCATCCACCCACCCATCCACCCACTCATTCATCTACACACCCATCATCTATCCACCCACCCACCCACCCATCCACCCACCCACCCATCCACCCATCCATCCACCCACCCATCCATCCATCCATTGCCCATATAAAAAGATGTGTGTACAGTGTGGAGTGTGTGTATGTATATACTTTCATGTGGTTTCTCCACCTTAATGGTCATCTTTGGGCGCAGTGGGCCTGGTGACTGTGTCTGAATGGACAGGTAAGAATGTGTTTATTTTATACTGAGTATTCCCAAGCTGCTGTGTAAAGTTGAAAAAATAATACATGTGATATCTTGTTTATCTTTGGCACAGATTCAGGCAGTTTGACTCTGCCTCTCTGTACATGTGAGAAAGAGATGCTATTCCCTCAGCTACTTCCTTTCTCAGCTCACACGTTGCCCACAAATTCTTCAGTTGTACAGTTACACATTTCCTTTCAATAGCTCTTCATATTTGCCTTAACACATTTGAAAGAGGTGCTTCCTGAATTTACCCACGCAGAGCATGCTCAGCAGCACTCAGAGGCAGCCACAGCTGCCATTACATCCACCCAGCCATGCTGGGCTCAGTGTCAGTCCCCTTTGTTGGCTCTTACTATAGACTCTTGGCTAGGCATTTGAGACTCTTGGTGATCTGGTGCCATCTTCTGTCTTCAGCCTCATCTCCTGTCTGCTGAATGCCCATTGTGCCTCTCAGCATTCTGAGGGGCACAGCTGTGGTGGGATTCACCTTCTCCTGGTTCTGAGAAGTTTCAGGGCCATTCTGAGTCTGAGCCTTTGCATGTGCTGTTCCTGCTATCCCTTTCTTGTCCTGGAGGTTTTCACTCTTCTTTCAAGCCCTGGCTTCCTGTTGGCTCCCAGTCCTTGGAGGTAGTTTTCCCATCCTCCAGCCACCTCATTTCACTCTCATGCCTTTGGCTAATGTTGTCTGTTCAGAGTTCTGAGTTTTCAGGGCCTTGTGAGAACTTTCCTCTTGGGGAGGGCTGGGGTGATTTACTGGCGGGCAATGTCTGGAACACCATTTCATTCTGGCTGGAGACTTGAGGGTGGGGCAAATATACCCCAACTGATACCTTAACTTTCACCTCACTGCTGCTATCTGAGGAGAAATGACAGAGGGGACATGGACTAGGAAAACAGCTAAGCTGGGGACCAGGCTGGACCTGTTCTGCTGGATAAAGCTGGGTTCAGTAGCCTAGGCTGGACCCATTCCTCTGGATAAAACTAGGCCCAGTAGCCTGGGCTGGACCCATACCACCAGGTGACCTGGGCTCAGTGCTTTGTTCTTGGTGGTGAATAGACTTTCCCCTTCTGTGCTTTCATCAACAGCATGGCCATGAGGGAAGCCATCCCTGGTGCAACCAGAGATGGGGTGGAGGCTCAGTTAAGGCTCAGTGGCGCATATTTTCACCACATGCACCAGGAAAGGAACATGGCACTCACTGGGCATCCTTCCTACGACAAATGACCTGAGTCTCATTCTAGAAAAGCACTCTGGGAACTAGAGGCAGGCAGCATGACAACAGGACTCTGATATCTGACAGCTGTAGGTTCTACTTCCAAAGGTTTTCTCCTTAGAGTTTTCTGGCCTTAGATGAGAAAAGTGCCCAGAATGACAGTACTTCCTTCTTCACTTGTTGGGTATGAAAACGATGAGCATAAGGAAACTGAAACCCTTAAAGGGCATTTTGATTAGAGCCCAACAGCCATGTTTCCTGAGTGCCTTGCAGGGGCTAGGGTCTTGGGACGGAGCAGCAAGCACAGCAGACAGTGAGCACAGGGTAGGGGCGGGGATGAAGTTTAGGAACTGTGTTAGGCTTGCTTACTTATTTGTGGTTGTACCAAGTTCTCTTCATGGGGAGGTGAGAGAGACATGGAAGATAGAAAAGAGGAAATGGTGAAAGTGGGGAACAAGAAG